AGCGCCGCGGCGCTTCCCAAGCGGCGCACTTATCCAGTGCGCCACCGGGCCGGCCCCAGTTTCAGATTTATACTAGCTTGATTCTGGTGATATAAATGTTATTCCTGTATAGCTCTTTTCCCTTTTACACCTTTTTGTGGTATTATTGTTAAACATATTATATCTATTAAAATCCCAAACCCAATGATACATTGCTATAATTATTATTTTACAATTTTTAGTCATTTTCTTGGCCCAACACAGCTTTGCTCCTACCCATCTCCTTTGTGCTGTTATTGGGAAATATATTATACATGTTACATTTCTATATTTTACAGACTCAATGATAAGTTGTATACATATTATTTTATGTAGTTGCTTTTATTTATTTATTTTTATTGGTTATGAATATTCATGGGGTACAAAGCAAATTGTCACCACTCGTGCCTAAGATGTGATGGCCAGATCCATACTGGCAGCATGCCCATTACTACAAATTTTGACTATACCCCATGTCCCCCACCCAATTATTCCCCCAATTATCCCCAACCTCCCTCCCCCTCCGCCAATGGTTGCTTTTTAAATCAGTTAAGAAAGGAGAAAATATATGCATCTCTACTGTCTTTTATAATTACATAATCCTCTTTACCCAGTGCCCTTTGATTTTTTGCATGAATTTGAATTACCATCTGGGGTCACTTGCTTTTAGCCTAAAGAACTTCCTATACTATTTCTTATAAGGTGAGTCTGCTAGCAACAAATTCAGTTATCCCACTGCCTTCTGGCCCCATTGTTTCTGCTGAGAAGTCAGCTAGCTGTCTAATTGGAGTTCTCTTGTGAATAATGAGTCTTTTTTTTTTTTTCCTTGCTGCTTTCAAGATTTTCTCCTTCTCTGACTTTCAGTATATCTACTGTGATGTATCTGTTTGTGTGTTTCTTTGTGTTTATCCGGTTTGGAGTCTTTGAGCTTCTTGGATGTGTAGATTATTGTTTTTCAATGAATTTTGGCCCATTATTTCTTCAAAAAATTTTCTGCTCCTTCCTCTTTCACCTCTCCTTCTGGTACACCTATTCTAAGGACTTTGGTGTGCTTAATGGTGTCCCACATTTCTCTGTAGCATACTTCATATTTCTTCATTCCTTTTTCTCTCTATTCTTTGGCCTATGTAATCTCAATTGATCTGTCTTCAAACTTGCTTATTCATTTTTCTGCCAGTTCAAATCCACTGTTGAGCCCCTCTAGTGAATTTTTATTTCAGCTATTGTACTTTTTCAACTTCAGAATACCATTCAGTTCTTTTTTATAATTCCTATCTCTTTATTGATAGTCTGTGTTTGATGCTACATTCTCATCATGCCTTTCTTAATTCTTTAGTTATTTCCTTTAGTTCTGTGGACATGTTTATAATGGCTACTTTGAAGTCTTTTCCTGATAAACCCAATGTCTCTGCACTCTCACAGGTAACTTCTGTTACTTGCTTTTTCTGGTTTGTGGATACTTTCCTATTTCTTTGCATGCCTTGTAATTTTTGGTTAGAAACTTGACATCTTAGATAATATATTGTAGAATCTCTGGGTATTATTCCCTTCACCCACTGGGGCTTATTATTGTTATTTGCTTGTTTATTTATTTAGCAACTGGCTAGATTGTTTTAGTGAAGACTATTTCACTCTCACAATGTTAAGCCTTTGATATTGCTCCTCAGGGAAGCAGACCTTTTGTGTATGCCCATAGTCACCCTAGGATGATAGTGGTTTTGGTAGGTATCTCTTTCCCTGACCACACCCAACTATTAAACTCCAGTAATTGCCAACTGATTGTTCTGTTGTTTTCAACAATGCTCTGTAGTGTGAATTGCTCTGCAAACTAATTCAATTAAATTCTTAATCCTTTGAAAGAGTAGTTAGTGTACAGGTCTGTGTTTGATATTTGTTCTGATCCCTGTTTGGCTCTTTCCAGCTGTCTTATTCCCCATTTAGGCCTGCAGTTTAGCTTATATCTTGAATCTTTTCTTAATTACCGATTACCACAACTTCCACTGTTCTTGAGAGTGCCCTTAGGTTTGAACTTATATATGCTATGTTGCATATGAAGCCAGCTCCTTTAGGAAGAGATTAGATGCTGTTTGTGGCCTGACTTTTTCTAGTCAAAATCTCTGAGCCTGAGCACTGGAGATGGTGATGAAGATAATGGCGAGCTTGTCTCTGAGACAATTAGATGTAAGATTCTGGGGCTCGGGGGAGCAGTCCAGGGAGAAGATTTAAATTTGGGAATTATCAATACATACCTAACATTTAAAACCACAAGACTGGACATCATCACCAGTGTAATGGGGTGGGCTAGAACAGAGAAGAGGATTAAGGCCTGCACCTGGAGTGCCCCATTGTTGATGTCTGGGATCTGAAAAGACTGAAAAGGAATGTCAGCAACTGAGGAGCAGGTTAGAGAAGAATGGGATTTCAATATAGTAATTTTAATCACCTTTAGTGACTTCTTGTCTTTTTTTTTCTGGTAAATATTGCTATAGCTTGAATTAGTATTCCTTAAAATCCTGCTAAATAGGATCAGCTCATATCTCTCCCTTTCCCCAGTGCACAAAACAGAGATAGGACTACTCTGCATTTTTCTGTCTGCATAGAATCTTGTAAGAAATTCCTACAGCATCTTTCTTACCAGCTTGGCTTTTACTACCCAATTTAAAAAATACTACCTAATGCTAACTTTTAATACTTAATGTGTTTAAAGCACTGCTATAAGTGCTTTTACCTTTGTACTCTCAGTTAATTCTTTCTAACAACCCTATGCAGTAGTTATTACCATTATTATCCCCATTTTATAGTTGAGAACTCCTACGTTTAAGAGAGATTAAGTAATTAGCCTATGATCTCACAGTGTGGGGCCATGGTCTAGAGCATAGGTCGGTCTATGAGACCAAATGTCACATGCAATAAATAAAGTACAATTATTTGGTATTTGTACTGATTTTGATACCTGGCAGTTGGAGAAATTTCAAGTTTAGTATCTAGATGGATTTGTTTGTTTATTAAACGACTACTTTTAAAAATTGTTTGGGGGCTGTACTGTGGGCCTTTTCCTTCGGTCCCATTGATAGGCGGGTTCTATTGTGCTATCTTTCGCAGACCTAAATTTGATTTGGTTGGAACCAAAGTAGGAAACTGATTATATAGTGTATTATCTTATATCTGTATAGATTGCCTTTCAGTGTTGCCATTTTGAAGACTCTTGTAATAGAATAAACATCAACAGGTTTTTTTTTTTTTGAACTTTTTTTTAGGACCATCTGAATCTGATCATTTTTCTCATAACCTGAGAGGAGTAATCCCACGAAGTTTTGAATATATGTTTTCCTTAATTGATTGTGAAAAAGAGAAGGTAAAACTTACTGTAAAAATAAGGCAGTTCTAGGAAATGTCTAGTTTGAGTAGTTAGCTACTAATAATTAGGTCATGATACATGGAAGGGCATAGATGGTACCCTACAATGTAGATAGGTTAGTGTGGTATAAAAAGCCCTTTCAATTCTTAAGATGAAATTAAGGATTCTGAGTTTTTTATTTTCAGTTTAGTTGAGTTTTTAGTTTATAAAACATGCATTATCCTTTAACTGAGATTGCTGACTTACAAGAAAGGAAAGTAATAGTTCTTAGGCTCTCAAAAGATTTTGCCAGAAAGTGTAAAGAAAATCTCAAAACAAGGAAAACAGATACACTAATATGGTAAGCCCTGTGATTTGCCTGTACCTAGGCTCACAGGTGACTACGGGTGTCCCTAGATCCTCATGATGTCCAGTAATGATGGGCCCATCCTTACCTCCTTTTCAGCACCTGCTACCACCATACCATGATATCCTTGCTTACATGTGGTGTGGCTCCATCGTCCTAGGGATGTGGTCTTTGTTCCTCGGTTCCCAGGTTGGGCCATTCTTACAATTGTGCTTCTTTAACTTGGTGAATTCCAGGCTTGAGAACCATTAGCGTTATATGTTCCATTACTTGTGTGCCAAGGACACTGATATATAACATTGGTTTACCATCTACTCTTTTACAAAAACTATCTTTTACTAACATTGCAGTTAGATGCACAAATTGCATGCCAGTGAAATAATTAAGTTTAGCGCTACGCATTTTTGTGGTTAAAAATCTTTTTTTTTTTTGTCTTTTTCATGACCGGTAAGGGGATCGCAAACCTTGGTGTGGTGTCACCCGCACTGCGCTCAGCCAGTGAGCACACCGGCCATTCCTATATAGGATCTGAACCCGCGGAGGGAGTGTCGCTGCGCTCCCAGCGCTGCACTCTCCCGAGTGCAGCCACAGGGCGGCCCTGTGGTTAAAAATCTTATAGAGAGTCTTTGGCTGGTTAGCGCAGTTGGTTAGAGCACAGCCATATAACACCAAGATCACGAGTTCAGATCCCCCTACTGGCCAACTGCAAAATATTTAAAGATTAAAAGATTAAAAATCTTTTAAAGGAAATAACACTTATTTCAAATAAAACTTTATGAAGAAGTTCAGTGTATAAGACAGACAAAAATGAATTGCCAGTTTGGCCTATGAGCTCTTTTGGTAGAGAGTGGTGCTGATAACACCAAGGTCAAGGGTTCGGATCCCTGTATTGGCCTGCCACTCAAAAAAAAAGCAATTCCCCATCTAGACAGCTCAATTCCCATCAACCTGTGTTGGCGCAGAGGAAACTTCTAGCGCTCCTGGGACCACAGTTTGATGCTGCTTTAAAATGTAATGAAGTGTTGAAAATAGTTATCTAGATTTTTAAACTGACTTTTAGGTGTCTTATATTGTGTTAAAGAATAATAGTGTAGGAAATTTATACCTTATGAAGGAAGTACAAGATTAATGGTCATAAAAGCTAGGAATGAACACACGAAAATCACGTATCCAAACAAGTCCTCTCTTACAGGCTGGAGCTGGAAAGAGTTTCCTTTGTAAGTGTTCCTTTATTGAAATCTACAATGAGCAGATATTTGACCTACTGGACTCTGCATCAGCTGGACTGTACTTAAGAAGGAAGTCTTTGTTGTTGGTGTGGTGGAACAGGTGGTAACCTCAGCTGCTGAAGCCTATCAGGTACCCTGTCATGAGTATTTATTTGATGTTTAGGCAACAAGCATGCTGTGAAAGCACCCTGATCTCAAAACAGTAAGAATTGAGGTTCTTAAAAATTATTTCATAAAGGTATAATACAGAATGTTCACGAGAAATAAAAAAGAGTATGGCAGCATTTTATAGATCTCTCCTTAGTTAAAATAGAACTTTGAGCCATTTGATTTTGTATTATTTTGATGCTATTCATTCTAATCAGGTTCTCTTAAAAACAGCCCTACAGGTGACAGTTCATTAGTGTTAGTATTTCTTTACTGGTTACTCCTGGCAGCTGCCTGTTTGAGGAGCTCTTGGGAACTCTGGCCTTTAAACCAACTGGCTATTCTCTTCTCAAAGATACTTTCTATCTTTGTTTGCTTAGGTGTCAAAATCACTAGTAGTGTCAAAAGCCAGTTTCTTTTGAGCATTCAGCTCAGGGCAAACAAACCCTTTGACAGGAATTTACAAAATTCTCACATTTTTATGGTATCTGACCTGGCCAATTAATTTTAACCAAGTTTTTGGGCCGGCCCGGTGGCTCACTCGGTAGAGTGCGGCACTTGGGAGTGCAGCGGCACTCCCGCTGAGGGTTTGGATCCCATATAGAGACCAGTCTGCTCACTGGTTGAGCGCGGTGCGGGCGCGACACCGAGGGTTGCAATTCCGTTGCCGGTCACGGTACGGGCGTGACACCGAGGGTTGCAATCCTGTTACCAGTCACGAAAAAAGACAAAAAGGAAAAAAAAAATTTTTAAACCAAGTTTTAACAATTTTAAACAAGTTTTTATTACATAACATTTGATACATACAAAACATTGCCAATTGTATGTAAGTTACTAAACATAATATTAAAGTGAACTTGCAAGAACCCATTAGACAATTTAAGACACAGGTGTCACTAACACTATCCTATTTACCTGTGTTCTCCCTATCCCATATCCCTGGCTTCTCCCCCAAAATAAGCATTATGCTTAATGCCATTATCATTTTCTTCCACTTTAAATAACATGTTTATGTATGAATATGTTGGTTTTGCCTGTTTTTGAGTTTTGAAAAGCCTTCTATGACTTTTTTTTTTTTTTTTTGGCAGCTGGCTGGTAGAGGGATCTGAACCCTTTGACCTTGGTTTTATAACACTGTGCTCTCACCAACTGAGCTGATCAGCCAGGCTCTATGAATTATTTTTTTTAACTCAACATGATTTATAAAATTCATCTGTGTTGCATTTCATTTATTTTCACTGTTGTATAATATTCCATTATTAATTTATTCTTCCATCTTCAATAATTCTCCTGATTCATACTTTTAAAACTGGGACTCCCCCAGTAGGAGATAGGTTTTACATGTGACCCAGTATGTATATATAGACATACTCAAAAAATTGTGTTGGTATTTTAACTGGAACTACATTTCAGTTATAGACTGGTTTGGAGGGATTGACATCTTTATAATATTAAGGCCTTACATGAACATGGTATGTCTCTTCATTTATTTAGGTGTTTAGTGTCTTGCAATGTAATTTTTTTATTGTAAAATATATATAACATAAGGATTGCCATTTTAAGCATTTTTTTAAAGCTGTAATTGTGTGGAATTAATTTGCAATATAATTTTAATAATTTTCATTATGCACATCTTACATTTCTTTTAGCTTTATTCCAATGTACTATCTATATTTTTTTGTTGTTTTAATATGGAATGCTTCAAAACTTTGCATGTCACACTTGTGCAGGGGCCATGCTAACCTCTGTTTGGGTCCAATTTTAATATATGTGCAGCCAAAACAAGCACTGTTTTTTGTTGTTCTTACAATCTCTTTTTTAATTACATTTTCTGTTTGGTATGTATAGAAATGCAGTTTATTTTTATAGAATCCTTTTATAACCAGCCACCTTGCTATTTTATAAAACCAGGAATTTGTATTAAATTTTGTCAAATGCTTTTTCTACCTCTATTAAGATGATCATGTGGTTTTTCTTCTGTAACATGGTAACATTTCTATATAGACTTCCAGAAAATAAAGTACTAAATTAGATTTGTTAATATTTTGTTTAGAGTTTTGCATCAGTTTTAAAGATTGAAGAAAACCTGTAATTTCCCTTTGTTCTGTCTCCTTTTCTTGTTTTTTTTTTTTTTTTTTTCCTTTTTTTTGTCTTTTTTCGTGTCCGGCAACGGATCGCAACCCTCAGT